GTGCGCATACACCTGAAATTATATTATAATTTTAATGATAATATTTTTAAATTAATTTATTTTTATTTATTTTTATTTATTTTTATTTAATTATAATTTTAATAATTTAATTTAATTTAATTTATTTAATTTAATTTATTCATTTTAATTTATATTTGATGCAGCAACGGCACAGGAAAAATACTGTAATGATAATATTATTAAATTACTTTTTTTATTTTTCTTTAATTATAATTCTAACAATTTAATTTAATTTATTTATTTTAATTTATTTAATTTTAATTTATTTATTTTAATTTATTTATTTTAATTTATTTATTTTAATTTATTTATTTTATTTATTTTATTTTATCTTGATGCAGCAACGGCATAGGAAAGAGCACCTTTCTGCATGCATTGGCCCGCCACGAGATTTTGGGTGTTGACCCGGACACCACCATCACATGTGTAGAACAAGGTATTATATTTTATTTTTTTTATTTTATTTTTTTTTGTTTTTTTTCTTTTTGTTTGTTTTTTTTGTTCTTTGTTTGTTTGTTTTGTTTAGGTTGTTGTTTTTATGTTTTTTTTTTTTTGTTTTTTGTACTTGGTGTATTTATCTATCTGTTTGTTGCTTGTTTATATAGTTGTTTATTATATTATATTTATAATACATAAAACAAGTGTTTATATTTCCTTATCTATTGTGAATCTATATGTATTTATTGTTTATATATTTTTATTTATTTATTATTTATGTATACTTATTGTTTATTTATTTATATTCATTTATTTTTTGTTTATTAATATATCCTCTTCTCTCTCTTTTCTTTCTATTTTATTTTTTTTAATTTATTTATTAAACTAACACCTCTACAAAGCAACCACCCCCGCACCAAAGAAAAAGCAAAAAATAAAAAAACAAAAAAACAAAAACAAATAAATAAATATTATTTTTTTTGTGTTTTATTTGTTTTATAGAGTATAGATACGGCTCAGAAACAGTACTAGAAGCGGTGCTGGCTGTTGATGTAGAAAGAAGCAAACTGCTGGCGGAGGCCGAGCTGCTGCAGCAGCAGGGGCAGCTTGTACAAAACCCTAAACCCTAAACCCTAAACCCTA